ATCTATATTTAACTAAAATTTGTTGAAAAACTCGTTTATAATTAATTAAATGAAAAATTAAATTTAATAAATTTTTTTAAATCGAAAAATAATCAATTTTTAATAAAATAATTAAATTAGATAAGTTTATTGCCTAATTAATCAAAATGTCATAAAAATATATTAATTTATAATTAACTAAACAACTAATAATTATACGAATGAAAACACAAAAAATATAATTAATACAAAATAAAATAAAAATTATTTACTTGGCTAGTTAATAAAAAAAATCAACAACATAAAAATATAGGAATACAACTATAAAATTATTAAATAATTTTAACTTCATAAAAAATCATAAAAATCCATTAGTTGACGACTAACTAAACGACAACTAAGTATATGAATAAAAAAATGTATAAAAAAAGCAATAAAAATAAAAAATAAATAAAATAATAATAATTTTAATTTTTAAAAAAATTACAAAAATCCATTAATTAATGACTAACTAAACGACAACTAAGTATATGAATAAAAAAATTTATAAAAAACAATATAAATAAAAAATAAATAAAATAAGGATAAATAGTGAAAAAATTAATTAAAACATAAAATAATAAGGCCGGGCCGAACTTTGGATACTTTCCACTATTTGGAAGGATTTTGGCAATTTTCAAAAAATAAAATCCTTTAAAAGTCTGTTAAAATCTTAAAAATACCGAATGTCATAAACCATTACGATACTCAAATGCAAAACTTGAATAAAATAAAATCGGTGAATAAGGTACCGATTTTTTTTTCAAGTTTTGCTATACGAAGACGTGAAACTGCACAGACAATTTTCTGTTATTGGCTGTAGTATCCATTACGAACTTCAAACATTAAATTTGAAACAATTCCGGTGAATAATGTCGCTAAAATCATCCAAATACCGAATATGGGGAGGTACCGTTATATGGAGGCTATACAAAGACGTGGACCTACATACCAAAAATCTTGCAGACACAATGTATATTTGAGTAAAATTTTATCAATCTACTTCATTTCGTTCGGAAGCTAGAGTTATTTCCACAGACGGATAGACGGGCGGACATGGCTAAATCCAGATCAAGAATATATACAATTTGTGGAGTCTAAAATGTATATTTCGAGGTGTTACAAACAGAATGACAAACTTAATATACGCTCCATACTATGATGGAGGGTATAATAAAAAAGGCTGTCGGTCCACAAATTGGAAGGAACTTGAAAATGGAAAAATATTCCGATAAAACACCGCCATAATTTTAATAATTCCGAAAACGTGTACCTCTATTCCAACTATCTGCTATATTGTGGAAAAATCTAGATAAAACAATCAAAATAACGAATGTTGGGATGTACCGTCATACTCGTATAGGGGCAATACAAAGTCGTGGATCCGTACAGGCAATTTTCTGTCATAGGAAGTAGTACCCATTACGAACACAAAATAACAAATTTGAAACATCAATAAAAAATAATAAGCAAATTAAAATGTAATAAAATGGAAAAACAAAAAAAAATAAATTAAATAATAATAATAATAATAATAATAATAATAATAATAATAATAATAATAATAATAATAATAATAATAATAATGATAATAATAATAATAATAATAATAATAATAATAATAATAATAATAATAATAATAATAATAATAATAATAATAATAATAATAATAATAATAATAATAATAATAATAATAATAATAATAATAATAATAATAATAATAATAATAATAATAATAGTAATAATAATAATAATAATAATAATAATAATAATAATAATAATAATAATAATTATAATAATAATAATAATAATAATAAGTACATAATTAAAACTTAAATTAATAAAAATAAATTCATAATTAAATAACAGAAAGAAATATATTAATAAAAATAGAAATATACCTAAAAATTTAAAATTAATTACAAAAACTAAATAAATGAATAAAAAAATTAAATAAAATAATTGCAAAATTACACATTTCGAGCATAATTTAAAATACGTTTTTTACACTTTATTAAAGTAAAAATAAAGAAATATAAATAAATTAAAATTAATAAGCTATTAACAAAAATGTCGTAACAGAAAATAAAAAAAAATTAAAAAAATAATAAAATTAAAATATAACATCTCTAGAAGACATTTTTTATTGTACACTTAAACTCAATGCTATGTATTCATTTGGTATAGACCCAATAATTTATATTTTTCATATAAAGCTTCCATTGGTTATTAACTTTTTTTTGTCAATTCAGATTTGAAAAAAGAGAAAAAATTAGGAAATTTTTTATATATATTTTTTTATTTAAAAATGCATCATGTCGAACATAATTAATAATTTCTCTAGTGATGTAATTTAGTTTTTCATTGAATTCTATTTTAAAAAATAAATATAGCGATATTAGAAGAATTGTTGTTACAAAATTATAGAAAAAAAGTTCCCATTTTTAGAAAAAATATTGAAATATATAACAAAGTCTGGGTTAAAATGTTATTCAAAAGTTTGATATGTCCTAACTAAAAAGTTTTTAAAAATAAATAAAAAAATTAAAAAGTATTAAATCTCAAGATTAATTCAATCCAAAATTTTGTACATGGGAAACTTCCAATAACTTTTTGTACTTAATAACATATAACAAATATATCATATCAAATATAAATAAATATTTCACGGGCGAAGAAATATAAAATTTGAATGAAATTTTATTGGTAACAATTATTATTGAAAAATCAAAGGAAAAATGCCCTGTTCTAGAAAAAAGTTCCCATTTAAAAAAAAAAAACACTTGTGGAGAAATTTCAATATTTTTTAATGAATTATGCAACAATACCTAAGTTAAAATTTCTTCAAGGTTAGTTGTTAATTTTTAAATAATAAAATTCAATTGATTTTATTCTAAAAAATAATAAGAAATAAAGAAATTTTCCATTTGAAATTAAATTGCCAAAAAGACCAATTTATTTTAATAAATTATAAAATAATATTAATGCTCTACCAAATGAATCTAATCGCTTTGAGTATCCCCCAGCACAACAGCAACCCCTTAATCCTTAACAACATTTTCTCACATTTTTGTTATCATTTGTTTTATGTGTCTTAGATGTTTTCTGTTTTCTTACTTCTTCTTTTGCATAAGATAATAATTTCTCTTTTGCTTTTTGTAAAAAAAAAAGTTATTGCAAGACAATATTTTTTATGTCAGATTAAAGGATTTTTTTCTAAAAATATACTTTTTGGCTTCAGTCCAACCACAGATTTGTACAGTAATTTAAATGACAGCATCTTAACAAACAGAATAATAAATTGTGTACAGTATCTGTAAAACTCATGCGCCATCTATTGAGCATAAAATCGAACTGGGTCCATTTTGATAGGCAAGACATACACCAACTCCAAAAATCTCCTTTATTTATTCACCCTGCAACTTCTTTTGAAAGGTAGTGTCTATACTAGAAAAGGGATGTCAGTACTAGATAAAATGGATTTGATTTTGTCAGATTTTTTTTTTTTTTTGGAAAATATTAAATATTGTGCCGGACGAAAATGTATTTTTCTTCTTTGCGAAGTATGCCAAAATAACGTAACATTCCAAACATTTTTTTTAAATTTTGATTCATGGCGGCCCACACCATCACCGTGGCTGGCGCTTGAGTTCTGGTGGCCATCTGAACAAGTAAACACGATGATTTTGTTTGTTTACAAACTGCTGGACAACGAATGTTTTCTCATCGGAGAAACCCAAATTCGACACTTCACCACTTTCGGCCAAGCGAAGCAACTCTTGAGATCTTTTGAGTCTATTTTCTTTTTTTAGCCGTGTAAGTTCTTGCACTTTTTGAAATTTCAAGGGCTTTACCCCGAGCTCCTTTTTTCAATATTTTCCGAATACGTCGGGCTACGCTAGCAGTATCACGGTAACGAGCGATGGTACGAGACACAAAAGATTCATTTACATTTAAATGCTGGAGTGCTCCAAAGATAGCCAAATATAAAAAAAATCACAATATCACACTTTTCCATTCCATCACGAATAAAATGTTTTCTTTAAAATTCTCTGCAAAATGCTTTTGTATGAGTGTAAACAATATAATGAGCTGTCACCGGAATAATTTTAACAGCTGTCGGACGATTGGCTTATAAATGACAGCAGTCTGAATTGGTTGCAGTTTTTTCATCTCACTCTTTATATAATGAATTTATTTCAAGAAATCTAAAATGTTTAAATATATGTACATCCCAATGTATGCTTAGGTGTCTTTTCATAATCTACTCCTTATTTATTGTATGGAATTCGTGTTACGCAGCATTGGTGGTGATATTGACCCACTGTGGTCGGCCTGTTTTAAGAAATTAACTTTCTTTAAGACACCCTGTCTTACAAATGGATTGCATCTTTGCTAAAGAATATCCTTGACACCAAATGACAATAACTTAATGATATTAGTCACCAATAGATGGCACAGTAGGTCTTTCAAAAGTACAGCTTACTTTACGGGCTTCTTGATTTATTTTTATATATATTTCTCGCACTAAGGGCATGATTAGTTTCGTTTGAAATTTGAAATTGACCGAAAATACAATTCGAAACTGCTTTTTAAGGTTACCACAAAATTGAAATATAATTTTAAATTGTAGCACAGCATTTATTTACGGCTAGACATCTTAAATAACTCATTTCACTAAGCTTTGGCATGATTCATTCCATTCCATTCCAAAAATGCTGTCATAATTCATTTTCATTGCCATAATTCTTCATCTTCATGAAAAGCATAAAAAGCGAGAGAGAGAGAGAGAGCAAAATTTCTCCACTAATCTGCGAGAAGAAAATAAACTGTTATTATTTTTAATTTTTAACCTTTTTAAAAAACAACAGAATAATTAAAAAAATCCAAAAATTCCTATTCTTGTAAATGTATTTCAAAATTTTCAATTTTCAATTTAAAATTTCTAATTTTCTTTTTATGAAATTCTTTTTCTCTTACAGGGGACTCAACCTACCACATGAAGATTCTAGTTCCAGCCGTGGCCTCAGGGGCCATTATCGGCAAGGGTGGCGAAACAATTGCATCCTTGCAAAAGGACACCGGTGCTCGTGTTAAAATGTCCAAATCCCATGATTTCTATCCAGGTAAGGGGGACACTGGAATATTCGGCCAAGATATCACTTCTTACATTTTTTTGTATTTATTTTCTCCAGGAACTACCGAACGCGTTTGCCTCATTACCGGCACCGTTGACGGCATCATGGCCGTCCTGGACTTTGTCATGGACAAGATCCGCGAAAAACCAGATCTAACCTCGAAAATTCTCGATGCTGAAAGCAAACAGAGTCAGGAGCGTGACAAGCAAGTAAAAATTTTGGTGCCCAATTCCACGGCCGGTATGATTATCGGCAAGGGTGGTGCTTATATTAAGCAGGTCAAAGAGGAGAGCGGTTCGTATGTGCAAATCTCACAGAAACCAAAAGATATATCATTGCAAGAACGTTGCATCACCATCATCGGTGACAAGGAGAACAACAAGAATGCCTGCAAAATGATCCTATCGAAAATCGTCGAAGATCCCTCATCGGGAACGTGTCTTAATGTCTCATATGCTGATATTAATGGGCCAGTGGCCAATTTCAATCCAACTGGTTCGCCATATGCCACAAATCAGAATGCCATCAATTCGAGTACAGCATCGTTGAATTCGACATTGGGCACAACCATTGGTGGTGCTGGCACAGCAGCAGGTCTTCTAGTCAATGGAACGGGCATTAATTTGTCGTTGAATTTGAGCTCACCAAATCCGGCACCAAATCTAGCTTTAGCCACACAATTGTTGGAACACATTAAGGTGAGATGGAAATGCTGTATAGAAGATCTTCAAAAGGGCCTTTTCCGTATGGAAGACCTCCGAAAGGGTCTTCTTTGTATGGGGGACCTCCAAAAGGGTCTCTTTTGTATAAAAGGTTTTCAAAGGCCTTTAGAAGGTCTTCTTTGTATGGACGACCTTTAGAAGGTCTTCTTTGTATGGACGACCTCTAGAGGATCTTCTCTGTATAGAAGGTCTCTAGAGGGTCTTCTCTGTATAGAAGGTCTCTAGAGGGTCTTCTCTGTATAGAAGACCTTTAGAAGGTCTTCTTTGTATGGACGACCTCTAGAGGATCTTCTCTGTATAGAAGGTCTCTAGAGGACCTTCTCTGTATATAAAGCCTCTAGAGGGTCTTCTCTGTATAGGAGTCCTCTAGAGGGTCTTCTCTGTATAAAAGACCTTTAGAGGGTCTTCTCTGTATGGAAGACCTCTGGAGGATCTTGTCTGTATGGAAGATCTCTGTGGGTTATTTTATGTATGGAAGAATTCTAGAAGGTCTTCTTTGTATGAAAGACCTTTGCAGAATGTTCTCTGTATGGAAGACCTCTAGAGCGTCTTCTATGTAAGGAAGATCAATGTAGTATTCACTGTATGGAAGACCTCTGAATTTCTTCCCCGTATAGATTTTTGTAATTTTTTTTTCTCAAATTTATATTAACTTGCCTTTCTTCTGCCCTTTCACAGGTCGCTTTACGCAGTTCAGGTTATTCTGAAACAGCCACCACAGAGGTCTGTGCCGCATTAGGTGTTTTAGCCAAATACGGTGTACTCGGCATGGGTGTTGGCCTGCAACACACCAACGGTGCCCACACAACACTTGGTAGCTATTTGGGTGTCTCCGCCTTGGATCAACAGACCGCTGCCGCTGCTACGGCCGCTACTGCGGGCAATGTATTCGGTGCTGTCGGTCAAGTCAATTTAGAGCAATACAGTGCTGCTGTTGCGGCCGCCGCAGCTAATCGACCCACTCAACAACAGCTGGATGCTGCTGCAGCCCAATTTGATCCATTCCGTCATTTAAATTCAAATGCTGGTCAAGCCGCCACACCGGTATCGCTGAATAACAATAGTTTTGGATTGACAGCTGCCACCGGCACGGTGACCACAGCGCCCACTTTGAATGCGGCCACTGGTGCACATGCCCTGAGCGGTATTAGCAAGAGTCCCACACCGGGTGATTTAAGTGCCAAGGATACAAAGAATGTGGAAATTCCTGAAGTGATTGTTGGCGCTATTTTAGGTGGGCCACGTTTTTATTATCCTTACTAAAAACAAAAACAAAACAAACTTCAAATTCCCCCTATTTTTTCTTTAAAAAAAGCACAAAAAAGAAATGCTAATTTTTATTTGTTCTTCGACAATCCTAATTTGTTTGTTCTTCCAAATGCCTTATTAGAAATTTTTTTCGTTAAGGGACCAACAAAACATTGTAACAAAGAATTGGAAGGAAAAACATTTTAATTTGCAAAATTTTGAAATTATCCTTCAAAAAGATTAAATTCATAAACAATGTTTTGTTGTTCCTTTATTATTTTTTGTTTTATTAATTAAACTTACCACGCAAAAAATCACTTAGTCTAGTTTTGTATAACATTATGGTTTATTTATACAAATTTGTTTAATATTTTTTTTTTTTTTTTAATTTTTAACCATTGTTTATTAATTGAGTTCTTATATACATATATATATACACACACACAATTACTTGTATGTTTTGAGTTTTGTTGCTGTAAGTGTAAACATTCCTTCTATATATATTTTAATTTTCTTAAAGTGCCTAAAAAAAAGTGCCTTCCTTTTTACCAAGAAAACAAAAAAAAAAAAAAAAGAAACACCAACCAACCATACTTCACAAAACATTCCTTATGCGCATAAACTTTTTTGGTATTTAGAACACACGCACACACCATCACCACTTTCCATATATAATTTTATATTATACTTATATAGTTATTAAACAAAAAATACACCCATATTGTATATAGATTTTCAGTTTATTCATATATACTATATTTTTTCGAAATTTCTTTTTTTTTTTGCTCATAATTCACAGTAAATAACCTTAAACAAAAATATATAAAACATTTAAAAAATTACAAAAAAAAAAAAACAATCTATGGATTTGAAAGTTTCTATATGAAAATGCCAGTTGCAATTTAGTTTTTAATTTTTATTATTTTAGGTTTAAAGAAAAACAATAATAATAATAATACAGGCCTAGGTCTTCCTGGCCTTGGTAGTGCTTAATATATTTGTCTCTACTTAGGTTTTGTGTATTACCATATGTTCTATTCCCATACCTTACATTTCTTGTGAATGTTTCATTTAGTGTCTCAAAAAGCAAATCACAAACCAATTCACCAGTAATAGTGGCTTTCAAAATACTTGCTTTTTTCCTTTATTGTTGTTGTTGTAAATCTAGTCAATTTCTTGCCGCCTTTCTCATACAATCAATCAATTCTCTCAATCACATTGTATATTGTTACTATTCCCAAATCTCGATATCCCAATTCGAATTTGCTATTTTCCCAGGAGTCGAGGCCAGCCTTTGAAACATTTTCGATAGAATCATTTACATTTATTTTTAAATTTTATTTACACATAAAACATTTGGCGCCCAACGTGTGTCACTCACAAAAGCACGAAATATTGTCTCGGTGTGCATATCCAATCCAATGTAATTATGCACAATTGACCCGTAACCCAGATTAACTTTTCCAATAGCCTAACGAAATCAAAATGGAAAAAAATTGAACTGGAAGTAATTGCGAGGTTTACCTTAAAACCCAGGCTTTGCCGTTCAAAAAGCATAGTCTTGAAAATATCATTTGACATTATCTGGCGCCCAACGTTTTTTGAGACACTGGCGCCCAGTCTAAGAGTTGTGGTTCCACGCTTTTTTTTCCTAGGAATAGGAAAAGTCATGAAAACATAAATGTAATGCGAATTACTTTTTTTCTTGGGGATATGGCGCCCAAAAGAAAATTAAATTTTTGACTTTTTTTTGACACAGGCCCATGTCCTGGATCTTTATTGGAATACGCATCTTAAAATGAGTAGTTATGAAAACTTAAATGTAATGAGACTTACTTTTTTTTTCTTGGCGATATGGCGCCCAAGGTAATGTTGTTCATATTTTTCCATTTTTTTTTTGTTATAAAATTAATTGTTTTTTTTTTTCAATGGCGTTGCTCAAATTTTTCCATTTTTTTTTGTTATCAAATTAATTGTTTTTTTTTTCAATGGCGCCCAATGTAAGACTTACTGTTTCCAACCCATGTCTCAAATTCCCACATTTTGGAATGCTAATATATTGAGAATTACTTCTTAGTTTAGTGGATATGGCGCCCAAGGTGTAACTTACAAGTAGATTATATTGCAGAGTGGATAATTTATATAAAATATGAAAGAAGACGAGGAAGAGGACTTGAAGAGAATCTTAATAGGCGAGTGGAAGGTAGTCATTAGGGGGGATCTGAGGGGGAGGAGAGGAGTCTTAATTGCACTTATTGGCCATCTGAATAAAATTGTTATAAGCAAGCTGATATATTTATTTAAATGGGAACCCGAAGGAAGACTTTGTGGGGGGAGAAATTCTTTTTAGACTACCTTGATGGAATTTTTAGTGGTGACCTGAGGGCGTCCCTGTCCCTTTAGGCAAACTAGAGGAAATTTAAAATTGCATATTTAAAATAAATATTTTTCTTGGCAACCCGAATGAAGTCTTTGTAGGGGACCTGAAGGGAGTCATTATAGGCGATCTGGAGGAAATTTTTTTTAGACCACCTTGAAGGAATTTTTAGTGGTGACCTGAGGGCGTCTCTGTAGATAATCTGGAGGAAATATTTTTAGGCATTTTTAGTTGCGGCCTAAGGGCGTGTTAATAGGCGACCTAGAGGCGGCCCGAAAAAAGGTGTTGAAAAATACACCTTTTCAAAGTCAGACTGAAGGGAACCTTTCTAGTTCAATTGGACGTTTTAAAAATTCAATATTTCAAATTAAGTATTTTTTTTTATAAATGGCGCCCAACGCAAGACTCTGCCCTTGAATAGATGAGCTACATTTTATAGCAGAATATGGCACTTTGATGTTCACGAATCTTCTTGGCGCTCAATGCACGTTTTACGAAAACATTTCGTTATCCATTCTCAAGGTGAACATTTGCATTTCTCTATTCCTAATTCTCATGTAACGAATTAGAGCTTCTGTGCTGTTTTTGTGCACCTAATTTTGGAATTTAGATTTTTGGTTAAAAACAACTTTTGGCGCCCAATGTGGATTTCATTTACGCCAAATATATGATATTTTTGCCTTTAAATGTTAATTGTTGTGCTATTTTGGCGCCCAACTTGACGTAAAGCAAATCTTCATAGATTACTTGGAGGCTATTTTTATGAAGAGGCAGAAGGCAGATAGTAGCCCAAACAAACGTTAACCTAAGAAGGTGTTTTTGGCGTTTTATGTGGGCTGCACAAAAAATATCACAACAGAAGTACAGGGTGGAACTTTGTCTCTAATTATTTGGTGGCTATGGAATATTTATATTTAGTTATCACAGTTTATGGCGCCCAATGCAGACTTTTTGAAGATGAAATATGAATTTAAGTCCAGAAATTTTAAATCTAAAATCACATAGCCTAACCAACTCCATATCAATTGAAAAACATTCTCAAGGATCGCAAAATTATATTAAGGATTATTGATTGGATACATTTCTAATATTTCAAGTCAACGTGCACATTCAAAAATCAATTTATATGTTTTTTCGTGCAATAAATTTCCAATATCTTAAAAATGGCGCCCAAATGTTTATTAGTCAAAAATATACACATCATTGCGATTTTTTTTCAGTTTAGTAATATTTTGATACATTTACTCACAGCCATACCCATATAATACATAATTTGCAAAAAACAAAAGAACTGTGATGATTTTTCCAATACCTCCCAACGCTCACAAATACATAAATCCGTAAACATTTTTTTCATAATGCAAAACACTTGTAAAATAGTACACCCACCCACCGCCACCACAAGGAGCAGTAAACATTTATTTTTATTATATTTCTGCATTTTTTGTTTTCATTTTACATTATAACCTTTAGTTTCAGGGGATTACAGAGAAGGCTGGCCGACATGTAGCATTTCATTTCAAAAATAGTTGACATTTTATTAAATAGGGGTAGGGCGCAGCTTTATATCATTAACTTTACATATGTTTTTTTTTTTCATAAACACACACACACATACATCTTTTAAGCACTACTCTTTTTTTAAGGATTCATAGAAATTTGCACACATATTTAGTTATAGACACACGATTTTTTTTGTTGTTATAGAGAGGATTCTTGGTAGGCAAGAATGGTTGCTAAAAAATATCTAACTCAAAATAAATGTTATAATTTCTTATCGAAAAAAAAAAAATAAAATACAATTGTAAAACAAACATTTTTAAACAAATATAGTTTATAATTTTTAAACAAATCTCTTTTGTGTAATACATATTTTTTTTTTCTATTTTGAAATATAATATGCTCAGGAGAAATGCCAACATTTGATTTTGAAAAGTGGCGCCCAACGTAAATACGACGGAATACTAAAAAACGGGAAATTTCAGACAACATATAATGTTGACAAGGAAATAATTTTATTTTGATAAGGAAAAAACACAAATTTTCAAAAAAAAAATTTTTTTTTGCTAAAATATATATGATTTCAAATCAAAGTAAAATTAAAGGATGATATATGAAATGTGTGATTTCATGATAATTATTCGACCACATTTAAAAAACAATGCTAATTTTCGAAACATTCTTTCTTTAAATGTTTTATTGGCGCCCAAGGTAAATTATTCGGTTAAATAAAAAAAAAATCCAATAATTTCCTTTTTTATAAAAAAAATATTTCTTGGTAACTATGATTATGATTCCAAATCAATTAATTTTATGGATACAAGAAAGGGATGAGGTGCGAAATGTGCAATTTCAATTAAGAAATCTGGAGTTTTACTCATAAAACTACTTGGCGCCCAAATAAATTTCGCCCACGAATAAGGTATTGATTTTTTCCCCAAAATAATGTTTCAATAAAGAACAATATTTCTGTTTGAGCTTTTTAATTTTTATGCGATAGACATTGGCTCCAATATTTTTTATTTACGATGAAACTTTGTGTTTCAATGGAAAATTTAATTAATTTTTTAATTTATAGAAATTTAAAAAAAAAAAATAGCGACCAACATAAATTTTTTAAATATATATTCAAGTCAGTTTTTCATATATATATTCAAGTCAAATGACGCCAAATGCAAGCTTCTTTTTTGTTGAAATTCTTAACTTTCTATGGAAAATATCAATTAATTAATATTTGTTTTTTTTAATCTTCAAACAAATTGGCGCCCAATGTAAATTAAAAATATAATATATAACTTTTTTATTAAAATTTGAGGTTTATAGAATTTCGGAATAGAGACAATCTTTTAAGAATATATACTATTTGATAAAGTCATTGAAATATTTAAACAAATTGGCGCCCAACGTAAACTCTCCAAATACAAGCCATGAATGTGGAAAATCAACCTTAATTCCCAAAGAAATAGCTTTCGTATTTTGTATAAAATTTTCAAGACCGATTTGGCTCAATATAATATATTTGTAGAATTTTGGGTTCCCATGGAAATCCAAAAATTGGCGACCAACGTAAATGCACAAAATACATGATATAAAAGGGGAATATCAACTTTAGTCCGTGAAAATATTACTTCAATATTTTGTATTATATTTTGAAGTTACAGGGTGCTCAATATACATTTCATTTACGGTTAAATTATGGATTTTCATGGAAAAACCGAAATTGGCGTGCAATATAAATTTACAAAAAAAAAATTGCTTTCAAAGTGGATGTATGTAAACATAAGTCCGTGAAAAAAATCATTTGCCTATTTCGCATTACATTTTAAGTCTCAATACAATTCATTTACTAATTGATGGCTTTATAGACATTTTTAAACAAAATGGCGCCCAACGTAATTTTCCGAAACGCATGCAGTGAAACTGAAATATTAATCTTAGTCGGGAAAAAATACATTTCTCCATTTTGTATTACAATGTAAATTACATTACAAGTAAAATTTTGGTTTTGTGTAAAAAACATAAAATTGGCGCCCAACGTAAATTTTCAAAAATAAACGAGATCAAAATGGAATATCAAACAGTCGTTGGTTTTATCCATAGAATGATATTGAAAACATTTGTGACAGCTTCCATGTTGAGCGAATTTTTGATTTTTAGCAAAATAATTAGACAAATACGGCTGCTCAAACAAGAAATACTTAATAAAATTAAAAGGTGAAACTTGATGAAAGAAATTATACCAACATTACCCCATTTTATTTGGGCTCTTTTCAAGACCTTCCGGAGTCGAGGTAGGAATCATGGACATCATGTCGGAATGTTATTTGAAGTTTGGTCCTTTCCTCTACCTACTAAGACTGGTGTAAAATAAGTAGACTGCGACAAAACCCGAAAATTGTAAAGACTAGAATACATAGAATATCAGATCATGACAGAGGCATGTTAAAATAAAAATCACCGAAACAAACGACAAATAAAACTTTGAAAAATCCAAAAATGTGGTTTCAAACTTATATTCCATAGACCTTTCCAAAAAAATGCGTAATATTATAGCGGTTTAAATCAACAGAGGTATTTTTCACAGGGTTGCCATATTTTGACTCTGTCTTGTCCCATCTGTATACTTCTATGTCTTTGCTACGACTACTACTATAGGAAATGATTTGTTCGAAGTTCGAATATACAAAATATTCTGAAATTATGGGAAATTTAGGATTTGAATACTACATTTAATTAAAAAAATTCAAATAAATGCAGCAAAAAAAAATAGTTTTTAATTTGAGTTATAAACATTTGAATGCCATCAAGAACCTCTTCATCTTAGCAAAAGCTTATAATTACTGTGTGCAAAAAAATCATTTCTTTATATTGTCTTATATTTTTAAGCACTCTTGGTGTTTTTCATATATTCAAACTATTTTTTATGGTTCTGTAATTTACACACTACAATACACATTAAAAAAACATTTTATTTTAGTTTTAGTTGTCTATTATTATTATTTTTATTATTTTTAAATGATACATAAATACAAAAACTTGTCTTGGGTCTTTTTCGAGAGGCCTAAAAAAGGCAGAATGCTAGTGCAATTGGTTAAAATACTTTAAAATAACAAAAAAGAAATATTAGAAGGCAAATGTGGATTTGCATTTCAATTTACTTTTTTTTTTGAAAAAAAAAAAAAAAACAAAATATATATACCTCAAAATATTTAGTTCTTAGTTAAGAGTTTTTAATTTTAGTATATTACACAAAAAAGACACAAAAATTAACAAACATTCCTTTACATAGTTTTTTGTTTGTGTACTACATTGGTGTTATTTTGATTAAAATTAATTTTTATTCCATTTATTGCTTTATAATATTATATATCGATAACAAATTAACCCCTTAATCCTTATATTCTTATCTTACATATGCAAAAACAATTTTATATATAAATATTAATATGTATTTCTTCTTCTTTTTATATTTCATACAAATACCAAAATCATAAAAAATACCATTTTGGGAAATTTTGAAAACATATAATATACATACCTATATTGCAAACCAAAAACAAAAAATATCCAGGTCCCAATGGTCGTTGTTTAGTTGAGATCCAACATATTTCGGGTGCTAATGTGCAAATTTCAAAGAAAGGCATTTTCGCCCCTGGCACCAGAAATCGTATTGTAACCATAACTGGTCAACCGAGTGCCATTGCTAAAGCTCAATATCTAATTGAACAGAAAATCAACGAGGAGGAGACAAAAAGAGCGCGACAAATTCCATTAGCCACTGTTGTGAATTAAAAGAAAAAAAAATACAAAGCAAAACAAAACAAAAAAGAAAAAAATCAAATTTTTTTGCAAATAGTTAAAACACCAATTCACCAACACCACAACCACCACCACCACCAACCACAACAACAACTGTCATCAACAAACAAAAGAAATCCTTTCTTCATTAACAAAAAACCAACAACAACAACAAATATAAATATATATTTCTAAAGAGCGTTACAACCAAAAACCGACAAAGAACTAAATCTGTTTATTAGTCTTGTTCCTCAGCAACCCCCTCCCCCTCTTCCAGCCACCCCTTTTCACATCTACACAATTGTTCACAATGAAAAACCGAAAAAATAAGAAACTATAACAAATAATGTTCTTGAATGATTAGATATTTTAATTATTGTTATAATAACTAAATAATTAAATTCAAAACAAAACCAAGAGAAAAAAATCGAAAAGTTTTAAAAACTTACAAATACCAGTTTTCCTAACTTTTTTCCCCAACTGGAACTGTTTCACCTGTTTCCCAAAATCACCCCTCCCCCCAGAGAAGGGAAAATGAAAAACAAAAAACAAAACCAACAACAACAGATTACTTTCATTACATTTAAATAAGTAAAATGAAAACCCCTAAATAAATTAACAAATAATTAAATAAAATAAACAAAACAAAAACTTAGTAAAATATACAATTAATAATTTTTAAAATTAAATTAAAACAAATAAGAAAAAAAGAAAAACTAAATAATGTAAATTCAAACAAAGTAATAAGAAAAAAAACGAAAAAAGTGTTAAAAACGTAATTTTTTTAAGGAAACTACAAAGGAAAAGAAAAATGGATAAAACGAAAAAAAATCTTCTTAAAAAACAACAACAACAAGAAAATACAAAACCAATAACCTTATAAAATATATTTAAAAGAAAAATACAAACAACCAAGATATATATACAAGAGATATTTTCAAAACAAGAAAACCAATTTCTGCTCTCCCTCCCTTTCCCCTCTCTCTCTCTCTTAAGAAGAAACCATATTTAAAGCTCCATTTAATTGACATTAATGTTGAAACTATTGAAAATATTTAGCGAAAACAAAACACACAGACAGAGACACAGACACAGACACATTACATATAGCAACAACAACAACAAAGAAAGAAGAAAATTTTAAAAAAAAATGGAAACAAAAAAAGGAAAACTAACAACAAACCTAATAATAATAAATTGTTATTAACATTAAGCCATATAGTTTAAATATATATAATGAAAGAAAAAATAAAAACAAAAAAACAATTTTCCTTTTTTAAGTAGCTACAATTAATGACAAAAAAAAAAGATTTTTAATCAAATACCAAGAGAGAATACAAAAAAAAAACATAACTAAACTTTCAATGTTTGAAAAAAATAAGATATTTAAAAACAATAATAATTGTACTGTAATACCAACAACAACAACAACCGAAGCAAAACAAAAAATTCAAGGCAAATAGAGGATATTTTTTTAAGGTGTTGTATTTTTCTTTTTAATTTTTTTTTTTTTTTTGTTATTTTGAATAACTTTTTCATTCTTGTCCTGTAAAAAAATTGTTTTTTTTTTAACCAAAAAAGGATGGATGGATGCTAATATTGAATTTAAAAAAATATATTTAAAAAACAAATCATTGAAGGGTCTCTCAAGAGAAGTGTCAAATATTTGGGAGGAATTTTAAATATATCAAAAGGTCTCATATTTTTTGAGACTGTTCTTCGTTTTTATAAAAATAAAAAAGGATATTCTTAAATTACGGCTCAATGACTACTAGCCATCATTAATCGAATTTATGGCCACAGAAATCCGTTTATTACATCCTGTCCGTTGACTAAGAATGGCGAGAGAGATAGAGATAGTCGCAACAATTTTTATAGTTATCAGCATTGCTAATGAGAATTATTTTTCAATTCATTCATCACTCATTTCAAATCGGACTTTAATGAAAATAATGGAGAGAAGAGAGGCTCTTGACTAATTGAGTCGATCAATGATTATTAAAAGTCAATAATACGATACATGACCAGAGCAACCAGTTAATTACTAATTTTCGATTGTATTTCTCTCTCTCTCTTTTTTTCTCTGCGGTTCACATGTAAATTTTACATAAATAACAAATTAATTTACAATTGGTACTCACATATTCGTATGTGTATGTTAACATATATCAGTTATGAACGGCTTTCAACGAAAGAGTATACACGAAAGAGTATACAACGAAAGAGTATACACGAAAGAGTATACAACGAAAGAGTATATACTCTTCTTATTTTCATTTGCATTAGTTTTGCATAAGCCATTGGTGAACACAACAGTAAGTTTGGTTCTTTCTCTCCCTGTGCGTTGATAGAGGAGAGACTTGCTCTCAATGGAAGGCATGTCTGAGTAATGTATTCAGACTTTTTCAATGATTTGTTTTTTATTTAGATTTTTTCATCTCTTTTGAAAGAAAAAAATAAATAATAATTTGTTGTTTTGTTTTCCCTAAATAAAAAATATTTTCTTTTTTTCCTTCTTGTTATACACATATAAATATACAAAAAATCTCAAGAAAACCTGAATAAAAAACAATAAGCAAGTGAAACGCATGTACCATAGTTATTGTTTTAGCACTTTTTTCTTTTACACACACACATACTGTTACATACTGTTTATTTTTTTAATTTTTGTTTTTGTTAAATAAAGATCACACGCATACATATACAAACATACATAGATACACAATAAAAAAAATAATAATATAAATAATTTTGTTTGTTAACAGAAATCAGGAATTTGTTTTTATATGTTGTTGTTCAATTGTTTTTTAATTATTATAATTATTATATACATATATAACATAAACAAAAAAGAAACATTAAAGAAAAACCGTAAAATTAATAATAATGATAATTTTTATTAAACATTAACTTTATAGCTAATAATAAATTAAAATTTAAAAAAAAAACGAAATCAATAACATTGTTAAATTAGAAGAAAGAAAGCAAAACAACAACCACTTACAGTTTAGACAAATGGTGTAAAAGAAAATTTACATTAATGTTAGGTTAACATGTTATGTTAAGTTAACATAGGAAATTATTATTATTTTATTTCTGTTAATTATTCTGCTATATGTCTATTGACATTGAAATATAAAAAATAAACTTAAATTAACCCGCAGACTGTATTAAAAACAAAGTAGACATTTTTAAATATTGGAAGAAAATTATCTAAAAATATTTTGAGAATATTAATTGAATAATTGGGTAAAAAGAATTAGTTGATATTTGCCTAAAAAATTTTCAAAAATTATTATGGGCATTATAGAACCAAGAACAAAGTTTTCCACTCAACTTAATTTAGGAAACTAACTCAAATTTGGATTTTTTCTTTCTTGAGGACTTTAATAAAACGAAACGATTTCCAGGGACTCGACATTTCCCAAAACTACTATTGGTCAAAATGGTTTTAAGGGATTCAGATATATCCATAATTTTTTTTTAATAGATTTTCTTAGAGAAATTATCCATCTTATCCAGAAATGTCTGAAGACTGGCTATTGGATCAAATGGAGCAATATATATCAACAAATTTCTTAACAACTCCTTTCCAATTGACTTATTTTATATCCGTCAAAAAATCGTAACTTAAGACCTGGAGCGTCTCCAAAAGTCCTCTGACGATTCAAAAGGTACTATGTCTGTGGACTCATTATTTCAACAATTTTCAGCCATGAATACAGAATGAGGGTTAAAGAAAATGTAAAGAACGTTGTAAAAAAGGTTATTTAAACAAACTCAAAAATTACCACACGAACAATGTTAGTTAACAGAAAATGCTAATTTTATACAGCTGCAAAAGATAACATTTTTAATTTAACATCGCTGAATGGAAATGTTAAAATAACATTAAAGCATATGTAAACATAACATGAATGTAACATTAGCATTTCAAGGCTAAGCTTTAAATTTAACATAAATGCTATTTAAATATAAATAATTTTAACATAAATGCTAATTTAACATAATTAATCAACACATATGATAACCGGCAGAAATGTTAAGTTAACATAATGTAAAGTAACATAAATGTTTTTTTTTTTAGAAAAAAATTATCATTTAACATTTTTGTTGATACGACATTTGTAGTAGTTTAACATTGCTCTTAACTTAATGGAAATATAAAGTTCCTGGCATAAATGTTGAATGAAAGAAAATCTTAATATAACAGACATAAATGCTAATTTAACATGAATTGTTAATTCAGCACAAATGTAAAGCATACATGTTAAAAGATGTTATTTTTCAACAAATGCTATAGGTTAACGGAAGTGTTATGTTTATTTAATATCAAGTGACATAAATTAGAAATGTTAAATTTATCTATATATGATATAAACATTAATGTTAAAAATATATGTCACGGAAATTTTAAATTAACATAAATGCTAAATTAGCATACATGTTATTTTAACATTATTACTTTATTATATGAAATGATAATTTCATAGAAAAGTTAATTTAGCATAAATGTTAAATTAAAATTTCTGTCAAATTTGCATATCTATGTAATAAACATTACTGTAAAACAACTATAATATTAACGTAAATGTTAAATTAGCAAAAAATGTTAAATTAGCCAAAATTTTAAATGGAAAAAATGTTAAATTTACAGAATTATTGAATTAACATAAATGTTAAATTTACATTCATGTTTAATATAAATGTTTAAAAGAATAAAAATGTTTAATTAACAGAAATATTGAATTAACATAAATGTTGAATTTACACTAATGTTATATCAACATATGTACAATTAACATAAATGTTAAATTAGCAAAAATGTTAAATTGGCAAAAATGTTAAATTAACAGAAATATTGAATTAACATAAATGCTAAAATTTACATTAATGTTAAATTAATATAGATGTTAAATTAACATAAATGTTAAATTAGCAAAAATGTTAATTTGGCAAAAATGTTAAATTAACAGATATATTGAATTAACATAAATGTGAAATTTACATGATAATTCAATATATTTTAAATTTACATAAATGTTATATAAGCAAAAATGTTAAAATAACATAAATATTGAATTAACATAAATGTTAAATTTACATTAATGTTAAATTAATATAAATGTTAAATTAACATAAATGTGAAATTAGCAAAAATGTTAAATTGGCAAAAATGTCAAATTAACATAAATATTGAATTAACATAAATGTTAAATTTACATTGATGTTTATTTTATACATATGTTAAATTAACATTAATGTTTAAAACAACAGAAATATTGAATTAACATAAATGTTGAATTTACATTGATGTTTATTTTATACATATGTTAAATTAACATTAATGTTTAAAACAACAGAAATATTGAATTAACATAAATGTTGAATTTACATTAATGTTATATCAACATATGTACAATTAACACAAATGTTAAATTAGCAAAACTGTTAAATTAACAGAAATATTAAATTAACATAAATGTTATGAGTAATTTTACATAAATATTAAATTAGCATAAATGTTAAATTAGCAAAAATGTTAAATTAACAGAAATATTGAATTAACACAAATTATACATTTACATTAATATTAAATTAATATAAATGTTAATTTTACATAAATGTTAAATTAGCAAAAATGTTAAATTAACAGAAATATTGAATTAACATAAATGTTGAATTTGCATTAATGTTAAAATTATATAAATGTGAAATTGGTTATGGTTAATGTTACTTTTACATAAATATTAAATTAGCATAAATGTTAAATTAACATAAATGTAAAGTTAGAATAAATGTTAAATTAGCATAAATGTTAAAATAACATAAATGTTAAATTTACATTAATGTTAAATTAATATAAATGTTAACTTAACATAAGTGTTAACTTAACGTAAATGTTAAATTAGCATTAATGTTAAATTAACAAAAATGTTAATTTATATTTTATTTAGAAAAATTTATCAGAAATATTAATTAGCAGCCATATTAATACTATACATGTTAACTTAACATGACTGCAAAACTGCGATCAATGTTAAGTTATAGAACATTTTAATTTCTTACACCTCTAAATTTACCATAAATGCTAGCTACTCATGTTAATTTTGGCCAAAAATGTTAACCTAACATAAATGTTAATTTTTAAAGCACCAAATTTTGAAAAAAAAAAAAACGATAAATAATTATGTTAAAACTCTCAAACAATTGTTAAGTTAGTAGAAAATAAAAATGAAAAACAAATTACAGATTACAAAAAAAAAAAAAACCGCCATACAAAAACCCGACGAATCATGAACGTTTTCAGTTTGAATTTTGATTGTAAGTGCAATTGAACCTGGCTCCCAAAATCCCAACTTCAAGCAAAACAAACAAGAAAAAAGAAAAAAACAAGGTAATTTTAATGTAAACATAGGCTAGTGATGAATAACATAACACACAGACATATATATATCCTGTTGAAGATAACCAAAAACAAACACAACCCCTTTGGATATCCTGTTGAGAGAATGACAAAAACGAAAAAAAAAATCATGGAGTGCCTAAAAAAATCGTAGTATTTTTAAGTAATGTGTTCTTTTCAGCTGTTTTATTATTTTTTGTAATTTGTTGAGTGCTGCTAGTCCCAAAAAAACAAAAAATGTAATGATGATGATGATGAGCGAAAAGAGCTGAGTGGCTTTTGGTTTTTGTTCAAGAAAGAAAATATTTTGAAGCCCATTGGCTGGCGAAAGGACAAGTTGGAAAGGACAAGTGTGGTAAAAGAGTGTTGTGTGGAGTTCAACTCTTTTTGTTTGTTGTTTTTTTTTGACATTCTACTTGAAAGCGCTTATTTTGTTTCTTTTGTTTTGGCAAACGTCTTCTCCTTATGATTTTTGATTTACGATTTCTGTTGTTGTTCTAATTACCATTTGTTGATAATATTATCTTCCATGCTCTACCACCACCCATCCCCCTAAGCCCCTTTGTCATCCCAGGAATGCCAGTCTAAATTTTTGTTGTTATGATGCCTTTTCTTTGAAATCAAACACACACATACACAGCAACAAACACCAATTTGAAAAGCAATAATGGGTTTTCCTCTGTTTTTACTCTATATTTGTATATATTCCATTAAAAAAATACCTATTTGATATATATCTTTTATTTTTTCCATTTATTATTTTTCATATTTTTCTTTTTTTTTTTTAAATTAAGTTAAATGCGTTAAACATACATACACTACATCACATACAAACTTTTTTTTATTACTATTATCCATATTATTATTATATTAAAAAAAATCCATTTTTTTTGTTTTCTTAGTTTTATGTTTAAAAACAAATTCTATTATTATTATTAAATATTAAAAAAAATATATATATATAATATAAAAAAAACAAAACTAAATATTTAGTCATGTGCAATGTAGTCTATGATGCTGCAATGAAATTGTGTTTTTATTTGTATATAATTTCAAACTCAGAGACCGAAATAAAAGACAATTAATTCTATTTCTTCCATTTTTATTAAATAAAACAAAAACTAAAAAAAACTATTTTAAAAAAAATTATCAAATGAGATACCTATATTAAAATAACTTTTCATTATAAAAAACATCACATTTTTAGAAAAAAAAAAAAACAAAATTGAAAACCTCTTTCATTCATTTTCTTTTATTAGTTTTCCTTTGATTTTAGTTTAAATTTTAAGTGCATTTTAATTTTCGAAAAAAAGTAAATATATAAATTGTGTTTAAAAAAACAAATCCTAAAAATTGTATGTTTAGTTATAAACAAATGAAATAAATAAAGAAATATTTTAAACTAATAAAAACAAAACTTTATAAAAATCCTCTAAAAAAAATAATCAAAAATGTGTTTTTACTTTACAATTAAAAAAAAAAAAGAAACAATATCAAAATAATTTCTTCATTAAACTCCATCAAAACCAAGCGCTCCTCAACTCTTTTCTCAATCATCACCAAACAATCAACCAACCAACCAATCAGTCAGTCAGTCAGTCAGTCAATCAGCCAAACTCCTCTCTCTCCACCACCAACTCAACAATAAATCAACCAATCAATCAGTTCATCATCAACAACTCCAACAGTGTCTCAGCCTTAAATTATGTTTCACTCCACCACAGATCAAAGCTAACCCCCAACCCCTACAATCCAACACCCACCCGCTCATTAAAAAAGCATTTTCAAATCGTTTCGTAAAAAATCAACCAAAACTTTCAAAACTAACTGAAAACGTTCATTTTTTCTTCCAATCAACAATCAATTGTATGTAGACCACCTTATATTGTTTAATTTAAAAAAATTAATTTTATTTTAGTTACTCACCCATACATATACAAGTTTTTCCTTTTCTCTTTTTTTTTTGTTGTTAAAATTTCAAATATTGTGAAACAATTCAAATCACATTAATTTTCAACAAACAAATTGTTCATTGTTTTTTTTTGCTTTTAAGTTTTACGGGTATAGTGAAAAACGAAATCATAGCTTTTAAGTTTAAAAACAAAACTAATGTTAAAATGTGAATCAATCAACAATCAAATCAATCAAAAAAAAAAAACGTAAAACATTGTAATTATTTGCATAACTTTAACATTCATCATTTGTTATGTTCTTCCCTCTACCTTTTGTTTTTTTTTCCACACATATATCTCTATACATACAACATATATATAATCGTTTTATTTAATTCATTAAAAAAAAAACCGAAAAGAAACCTAAATAAATAAATATTGTTAAACATTTTTGCCTGTAGCATATCTTTTTTTCGAAGTCAGTATTTAAAATGGTCTGGGAGTTAAGAAAATGGAGGGTCAAGGGAAAGTGGGAGGGATCATCATGGCCCTTACAAAAACATACATGGGAATTTTGGAATATTTTCTCAATGGGTTCGATTTAGATTATTTCGATCCATAGATGGAAAATTTAAGAATTAACAAGTAAAAAAAAAACATTAAGTTCGACCGGGCCAAACTTTTAATACCCTCCATACTGTTATATGGGGGCTATATCAACTCATGGACCTACACATGCAATGTTTCGCCAAAGGAGCTAGAACCCATTATGACCTACAAATAACAATTTTCAGACAAATCCGTACAAAAATGTGGCAAAAGTCATCAAATTACCAGATATCGGGAGGTACCGTAATATGGGGGCTACACCAAAACGTGGACCTATAATTACAATGACTCGCCACACGAACTGGGACCCATTATGAACTACAACTACCAATTTTCAGGGAAATTCTTGAAAAAATGTGGCATAAATAATCAAAATACCGAATATCGGGAGGTACCGTTACATGGGGACTATTTCAAAACGTGGACCTATACATACAATGTTTCGCCACACGAACTAGGACCCATTATGACCCACAAATACCAATTTTTAGACAAATCAGTGAAAAAATGTGGCAAAAACCATCAAAATACCGAATATTGAGAGGTACCGTTATATGGGGGCTATACCAAATCATGAACCCATACATGCAATGTTTCGCCACCGGAGCTGGGACCCATTATGACCAACAAATAAAAATTTTTAGACGAATCCGTGAAAAAATGTGGCAAAAAAATTAAAATATTGAATATCGGGAGGCACCTTTATATGCGGGCTATACCAAAACGTGGACCCATACATGCAATGTCTTGACACACGCACAGGGACCCATTATGACCTACAAGTAACAATTTTTAGACAAATCCGTGAAAAAATGTGGCATAAATAATCAAAATACCGAATATCGGGAGGTACCGTTACATGGGGACTATACCAGATCGTGGACCGATATATCTCATTTTCAATACCAACCATCCTAGACACAATATAAATAGCTCTAAATTTTGGCGCTACGTCAAATAATGTGGGCTGTATCGTGATTTCAACAGACAGACAGACAGACAGAGACACGGATAGACAGAGAGACGGACAGACATACGGACATCGTTAAATCGACCTAGAATTTTATGCTGATTATGAATATATATATACTTCATGGGGTCTACGACGAATATTTAAGGATGTTACAAACGGAATGACAAAGTTAATATACCCTCTTTTCCAAGGTGGAGGGTATAAAAAATACTAAATTAAAGTAAAGAATGAGGATATGGAATTCTGAATGCTATACATTTATATACTTAAAACTTTTATATATTTTTTCAAATACCTTAAAAAAATAGGACTACGAAGTTGAGTGATTTTTATTCAGTCTGCGAAGTAGAAGTTCGTGAGCTACTCGTTTCCAGTCCGACCACTAGAACAAAATCAAAATTATTATTAGAAAATATGTAATATCTCCCCCTCCATTTGAAGGTATATTGAGTTAGTCATTCGGACATCTAATCACTATAAGAATATACAGGGTGATATAAAAAAAAACTGCAACAAAGATTTAGATTTGTCCGAATTGGTCACCTTTGTCAGGAATTATGGCCTTCAAACGGCCAATGAAACCGTCACACGCTGCCCGAATGTTGCTTTGCGGTATTTTATCCCATTCCCGGCGAAGCGCTTGCTTGATGTGATCGATACTTTAGTGTTTTTCAGTGCCAAACTTGCTTTCCAAACTACTCCAGACACAATAGACCAACGGATTGGTATCCGGAGATTTTGGTGGCCATTTTGCGCTGGAAATAAAGAGAGGAACCTCATTTTGTAACCATTCTTGGTTGGCGCGTGCTATGTGCGATGGTGCTGAGTCCTGTTGGAATGTCCAAGGTCTGCGGCCAAAATGTTTGCGTGTCCAAGGCTTATTCGACATTTATTCTGATGCCACGGTTGATTAATGCGAGCCGAGAGCGACCATCGGATGTTATGGAGGCTCACATCATCATAATGGTACCTCCCTATTTTCGATGTTTTGGTGATTTAGGCGACATTTTTCACCGGAAATATTTCAAATTTGGTATTTGATTTTTTTAGATTTTGTTTTTTTTTTTTTTTTTTGAAAAAGGGCAAATTAGTTCCAAATGGAGGAGGGTATTCAAAGTGCGACCCGGCCGAACTTGCAGCTTTTTGGGGATGCAATTTTTCAAATAGTATGTGTTTTGGCCACGGACGACGAACCATAGTGAAATTGGTGAGAATCTGTTTAAATTTAAAAATAGCTCCCAAATATATATTTTTAACCGATTTCGGGCTAATTGTGCACCAAATGTCCAATATCAGTCCAAATGACCTGCATTTTGGTATATCCAACCGAATTCAGTCTATAAGCAAGTACTTCAAATTTGATGAAAATCGGTATGGATATAGCAATAGCTTCCGTATATATGTTTCATCCGATTTGGCGTTTGAGTCCCTCATAGTCGTCATGATATTTGGACTATATATCGTGACACAAATACCTTTGCCAAATTTTATTGAG